ACACGTGTTTGCCCAATTAGTCTGAAAGAAACAGAAATGAGCACAAAAAAAGTGGAAATTACCTGAAAAAAGATGAGATTTGAAACAAGAAAAAAAAGCAGTTGAAAAGTAGCTAAAAAGCAGAAAGAAGCTTATATTACCAGAAGGAGGTGAGAGTGCATTTTTGTTGAATTAGGCTGAAAAAAGTTGAAATGAGTACAACAAAAGTGGAATTAGCTGAAAAGGCTAAAATTAGCATAAAAACAGCTAAATAGTAGCTGAAAAAGCAGAAACTTGCAAAAATAAGCTGAAAGGAGCATTCAACCTTTATTTAGACAGGTAAATCCCATTGAGCCTCGAGGACTCATTTACAAGAGAGACCTGATTTCAACAAAGAAAGATGACAACAATGGACAACAGCGACAACAATAAACAGTTATAAAAAGTCATACTACAGTTTTGGGGGGTTTTTTGTTTGTTTTTTTTTTATAACAAATAGGATGGCTAAAAGAAAAAGGTAACAAAAAAAAACCCAGCTAGATTCTAAGGCGAATGTGAACAAATCGGCTGGAGAAAAAAACAGCTGAAAGTAGCTGGAAAAAGGTTTAAATTTGCACAAGGAAACTGAACAAAACAGAACCAGAACAAAATGTGACAGGAGCAATGAAAGGTTGTAAACAGATCTAAACATTTGAAGGATGTAAAATGAGCCTAATTCATTTTCTACGAGGAAAAAAAATGTGGCAGAAAAGGCTAAATATTTCAAAAAATCTAAAGTTGCACCAATACCAAAAGTCATAGCACCCTTATCCAGAACGAGCTGAACGTTTTGATTTATTATTTGTTGAAATAGCAAAAACTATACGGAACGAGAAAGATGCTGAAAAACGTACGGAAGAAAGATGGTTCACAATAGTGTGAACATTCACTCGACTAGGAACTCTAACATAGTGTCTGTCCTTCGCACAATCTGCACACCAACAAATACAGAGGTACAAAAACAAACACTAAACTTAATTTGAAATAAGCAGACTTAAGCAGCAGTTTTTAATATTAAGACTCTTAAAAACCAAACCAAAACTCAGAGGTGTGGACTATCATTAAAGGCCACAGTTAATGGAGTTATGGAGGTAACACAGAAACTATGGATGAACCAAGCAGCCATCTTGTTAGCTTGGTGTTTGTATTGTGATGTTTGGGCCAGTTCAGAACATGACTCACAACAATTCTCTCCAAAACAGATCAGAAAAGAGATTATCCACGGCTGAACTTCAGACAGATTTGAGAATGAATCCATTCAAGATACAATTTTTAAAAATATTATTAATAATAGCTTGTTGCTGTGTCCTGTCAGTCTGAGTTGTGCTGTATCTATGGAAGGCCATTTTAATCTGTAAGACCATTTAAACAGTAACAGCCAGAGGACAGAGGAGGGTGCACTGAATTGAGGTTCATACAACACTACATCAAATCAGCTACAAAGAAAGCAGCTCTGAAGACAGAGTAAGGAGAAGAGCTGCAGTACTGTAATAATCTGGTTTATATTGACCAACGCATTAAGCATGTCAGAGTCGAAGGCCTCAGGAAACCGTGTGAAAATAAAAAAAATTAAACGTGTCTCCTTTAAAGTCACACACCATCTAATCTGTTGCAAAAAACTTTAACTTGGATTTTATTAAAAATATATATATATATATTTTGTTCAACCACCTGAGGTAAACGTTTTCCTTCATTCAGAGAACGAGGATCTACCTGCTACGGCCACGTCTCCACCAACCAGCAGACACTGAGCCCACTCTCACCGTACGATACAACGACCAGTCCTGAAGCTGGAATTATTCAGCTGACATGATTCAACACTTTCAAGAAGAGGCGACCAGATTACAGAGTACAGAAAATAATTCATGCCCTTTGAACCTCTCCACATCATGTCACATTACAGAAACAAACCTCAGTGTTGGTTAAACACAAAGCACAAACCAGTGAGGAAAAGAGATATGTGGTGAGGCCTCACTTCTCTGTTTAACAAAAGCTTTTTAAAAAAGTGGCAGGGATTTGTCCTTCAGCCTTGCTTCTAAACTTATTAGCTTTTCCTTTGACATGACTGGTGGGTTCCCTGGTCTTCATGATGCTGTTTGATCACTAATGTTCCGCCACAAACCTCTGAGGCCTGAGAATAAACTAAATACAGTAGTCCCTCGTTTATCGTGGGGGATCTGTACTCTGAAGCCCTGTGATAAGTGAAAAACCACAAAGTAGGGATAGTAGTACAAGTAGTAAGTAGTAGTTTATTTTAGTATATATATATGGATGGCGTTTTAAACCCTTTCTACGCTATTGCAATATTCTTAACAATGTTTCTAAACTCTAAAAGCTCTAAATGAGCACAGAATGCCATGATTTCAGCTCTCTGCCTCCTCTGCTCTCAGCCACCTTCTTGGCCACACCCACTTCTCAGCTCTACATTGAGAACAGCTGATCAGCTGCAGCAGGAAGCTTATCCTGCAGTGTGGGCTGCACAGAGGAGCAGGAGGTGCTAAATCATTTAAAATAATTTATTTTAAATAAATATTCCATGCCGATCATGCGGCTCATCCGTCATTCAGCCAATCGTGTGTCATGTCCAATCTTATTTTGAAAAACTGCGATAGAGCGAGTCCGCGATAAACGAACCGCGAAGTAGAGAGGGACTACTGTACTCAACAGGCGGACTCTGTTTGCTGATAAAACTTCAGAAGGCAGCTGGTTGGATTTCAGTTTGTCGTATCAAAGTAAAGATGGGCTGAATACGGATGCATACCACACTTTGCATGTTTGAAAATCATGCATCACTTCCTTCCACTTCACAATTATACATTACTTTATGTTGCTTTATCATGGAAAACCCTCGTCAAACACTTTGAAGCTTGAGGTCAGAACACGACAAAATGTGGAAAAGTTCACAAGATGTCAAATGCTTTCAAGGCAATGAATGATCACGTGGAAGAGAATCAAAACTGTGCTGGATTTATTGTTCCCCGCAATACTAGAAATGCAAAACTCATTAAACAGCTGCTCGCGCGTTACGAGCAGGTTGCAAGGTTAAAAGCTTATTTTTTTATTCATCGGAGGACTTATAAGTGCTCCAACGAGCAGAAACAGAAGGTTTCATCCTGGCGTATCGAGGAGGAGTTTGAAAAGGGTTTTTAAAACTGATATCGTTCAGAAATCCCATTTGTCGTTGTTTTTAACAAACGTTTGTGTCTCAGGGTTGTTATTCAGTTGAAGCCTCTGTGGTTCTGTTTCCACAACCTGAGCTGTCCCTGAACCACAAGTTGGTCCAGATCAACGGACGGAGACTTGTTTTCCTCGCACCAGTACAAAGACGCTCTGCTAAGACAAAAGGTGGACTATATATTTGTCGATGCTAACCTTCAAAATCAAGAACAGAAATGAGAAGAGTAAAAAGGTGCAACGGGGTGCGACAGGTACAAAATCTGCATTTTGCGTTATATTCACAACTTTGAAAGAATGTTCATCTCTATCAAATACAAAATCAACACAAATTCTTCTGACGCAAGAAAAAACTGATTCTACTTCACTTAATATTTTAGTCAAGCCAACTCAAGATTATTTATAGAGTACATTTAAAACAGAAACTGTTACCAAAGCACTTAACAATGAAGTCCCAGCATCAAGTAAAAAATAAGATATACCGTACTTTTCGCTGTATAGCCTTAAACCTTTTTGCATAAATTTGTATGCCCTTCGACTTATACACCGAAGCAAAACATTTTTTTTTTTTCCCCATATTTATAACTCAATTTTTGGCTGAGATCTGACGATTTCATTCATTCTGACATGGAAAATATTGAACAATACCATTTTCAGCCACTAGAGGGCCCTCGACTAATATGGCAAGCCAAGTGTCTCATTAATAGGTAAAAGTGGCTATTAATGAGACACTTGGCTTGCCATAACAAGCCACCTTCGTCTCGTTCCAGAACTCCTGAGCAAACTTCAAAATCAGCTGCATTTCACTACGCCGCCCAGGTAAAATGCAGCTGATTTGACCATTAAAGTGCATTTATTAAGGAAAAGTTCAACTGAGACACACCTTTACTATAAAGTTGAACAAACAAATAATTGTTTTTAAGTGTTAATCTTGTTAAATTCTTGTTAAAGTCCTCCCATGCTTGTTCCCGCGCCCGCCATTTGGCAGTCAATAGATTTTTGGCACAACACCGGCCCACGTTTCCGGGTGGTCAGCTGTGACAAATAACAAACGCGACGCATAGTAGATGTGACTATACGGCGAAGTGACTTATTAATGCTTTTTTCCACTTTCTTTAACATATTTGGACTGATGAGACGTGTATGGCAGAAGTACTGTAATTAAAAGCATCAAAAAATAAAAACATAAAAAACACAATGCGAAACAATGGAATAATAAATCAGATCAGACTGTGTTAAATGTCAGTGAATACATGTGTGTTTTCAGGAGATTTAAAAGCAGGGAGTGAAGTGGCCTGTCTAATGTTGAGGGGCAGATTGTTCCAGAGTTTAGGGACCAGGACTGAAAAATCCCGATCTCCTCTGAGCTTCAGCCTGATGGTACAACCAAAAGCAGCTGGTCAGATGATCTCCGCCCGAGAAGGAACATAAGGTTGAAGTAGGTCAGAGAGGTACGCAGGTGCAAGGCCTTTAATGTACTTAAGGGTCAACAGGAGAATTTTTAAATCAATTCTGACATGCACAGGGAGCCAGTGAAGGGAGGACAAAACAGGGGAAATATCCTCAAACCTATTAGTTCCTGTTAATATCCAAAATGCAGCATTTTGGATGAGCTGGAGACGTGAAAGCGAAGCCAACATACAGCACGTTACAGTAGTCCAGCCGGGTTGTAATGAATGCATGGACTAATTTTTCAAGGTCAGATCTGAACAGCACAGACTTAAGTTTAGCTTTTTTGAAGAACAGAGTTAATCTGTTTATTGAACTTAAAGTCCGAGTCTAAAAGTCAATAAAAAAGAGCATCTTACCTGTTTGTGCATCTCTATATTCAGCCCGTATGACATTTCGTAGTACTGAAAGAATAAAGGAGATAAAGGAAAGTTGGTCAGTTTGTCTTTCGGCTCATGGCGGACGCTTTAACGACAACAGCAGACTCACCATCACGTAGTGTCTCTGCATCTCCGTTTTCTCACTGGCCAGTTTTTCACATTCCAGCTTCAAGCTATCGGAGGCAAGAAAAATGAGGTTCAAGTGTTTACAGCGCACACACGCACAATCAATAAAAAGTATGATAAACGTCCTTACAGTTGGGAGCCAATGAGTCGTATAAATCAAATAAACATAATGTGACAATTAGCAAAACCCAAACCAGAGAAGCCACTTGTGGATTTCTGAGGATGCTGCTTCAGATTTGCATAATCTGAACCTGAGTGCAGCCTGAGCACACGAGAGGAGAGCCGTGTGGAGCACCACAGCTTCCTCCTGCAGGCTCTTACTCAGCAGGTGCGGTGCAGTAATTACAGAATCAATGGACAAACGCACAAACCTCATCAGATATTCTTACAGTGCGTTGTGAGGGGAAGCCAAAACTGCATCGTCGGCAAAAAAAAAAAAAAAACATACAACGAGAATCCATTTTACACAGAAGGTTAGCTCTTTTAAATCTTATGGCGTATGGGAAATCTTCAATTTATGACAGGAAGCTTTTATCTAATGACACTCATCAAGTGATGATTTACAGATGCTGGGATATTTCACGATAAAGCAATACCAGAAGCAGCTGGAAAGTTATGCATCACTTCTGATCTCAAAATCTCACCAAATGTTTAAAAAATTGTTCATTTTTATGTATTCTTGCTCCATCCTCCCCCTCCTGTTGGGGCTGAAAGTGTTTGATGTGTGGCTGCAGCTCATTATCCTCGCCTCGGCCTGCTCAGCCCCAGGATGGAGCAGAAAACCGGACGGCTGGTTCATCTCACCGAGTCATTGGCTAACAATTACAAGGTGGCCAGAAGTGGGCGATTACTATGCATTGCTATCGTGCTCGTGGTTCTGCCTCGCAGCTACGTATTTCACACTTCATCACGCCGGGTGAAACAGCATTTCACACCACCTGCTTCTGCAGAGAGAGAGAGACGTGCACGTGGAGGTCAGCGGGGTTTACCTGTGGTTAGTGATAGATGGACCCGAGACAAATCAGTCAGGGCCTCGCTGTGGCGTGTTTAGAAGCACTTTCATCCTCAGATGATGAGAACAGCCAAACTAAGGCTGTTGTCACTTCTAAACCAGAACCTGAAGCAAAAGTCACGTTCTGTCTAGTATTTCAGGTTATTGCATCATGCATCAAACATTTTGGTCATGTTGCATGAATCATACATGACCAGTTCTAACTTTTGTAGCTCTCCAACTGTAATCCTTCGCGTTTCAACTAATAGAATCTATTCAACATTTGTTTGATCTTTTTTATGAACTCTTCTGAAAATGTGGAAAATAGGTCTAGTTTTCTTGACTAGGTGCTTTAAAACCAAATAACTATAAATAATAAAAGGTCAGTTTTATTCTTCCAGATTGACTGCAGCTCTGTGAGACGCACACTAACTTTGTGTTGTCTCCCTCCTGACTCACCTGTGGTACTGAGCCTGCAGGAACTGGAACTCCTCCTTGATGCGTTCGCAGGACTCGGTGACGGTGAACTTGAAGGGCTGACCCGGCTGGTGCGGCACCTCGACCCGAACCAAGGAAGAGAGCAAGAAGAACCGAGCCACCAAAGGTCAGTGTCATGGCAAAACAGGCAGGACTGTAGCCCACAATGGGCCTCTCACACACTCACACACACATCCAGCTGCGGCAGTGAGACAATGAGCGCTGTTGTCCGCGCCGTGCCACGGACACTGGATGGAAGGTGATTACGCATCAGGCGCGCGGCTGTTTGGCACGCGCTCTACTTACCGGATGCCGCGCCGGAGGGTACATCTTGCTCAGATCTCGAATCATTCTTTAGGAAAGCTTATCCACACCAAAACCAAAATGCGTGAGCGCGTTTTAGTTTCTCTCCGTGCGTAAAACGGTCAGTCAGTGGCCAGCTGTCGGGCTACGTGAACAGTAAAAACATCCTGGAACCCCTGATTGACTTTAACAAAAATAAATAAAAAATAGTTTTAAAGTCCGGTCAGGGTGTTACACGTGTTGTTTCTGTCCTCTTTGAAAATCTCCAGCACCTTTACGCGTGAAATTCTTTCTCGCATCCAACAATCAGTTCCTTATTTTCTCCATTTCTTCTCCCACACAAAAAAAAAAAAAAAAAAAATCAACTTTTAGCTCTCGATGGTTCGGCTTGTCCAGCTCAGAGCTGCTCCACACGGTTCCGTCTCCTTCAGCCTCCTTCACGGTTCACATCCCGCAGCATCACCCGACTGTACCAGCCTGCCCCTGCGACGACAAATTTAGAAGCAGTCAGTCCGCACGAGCGCATTTCCATATTCACAACATTTCCAGGAGCCCGCGCCGCGGCGCCGGGACGTGTAGTTCCCCTCGCTTCAGTCCATAATAAGCCCCACAGATGCGCGTCTGCAGGAAAGAACTACAACTTCCCGAATCCCCCACTCCCCACCTCACCCCCTCCCTGAAGCCAATGGTGTGTGGTCTGGAGGAGGAGGAGGCCATTAGAGGCAGCCACTGAGCGCGCAGCTCCGCATCCTTCTGCCTGTCAGAGCCAGGCTGTCCAATCACAGCCCAGCAGGATGAGAGCCCTGCAGACCCCCACGTGGGGGCTCGGTCTGGTCTGGAACAGGAGGGTGTCAGAGACTGATCTGATCAGTTGACTTGTCTGTTTTTGTACAAACCTCCATACTAAAAGCCTCCATATGGCTTGTGTTTATTTTCCCTGATGCTTAATTGTTTTAGGATCACAGATGAAAAGTGAATTTAGGACAGACTGCATGATCCGTCGCTCTTTATAAACAAATGTCATGTGAAACTTGTTCACACACCCCCTTGTTGGATGGATCTATCTGCAGTTCAGAGCCGTTAGTGAAAAAAGTGTCATCAGATAGAAACAGCAAACTACATGTGCCAGTTAAGCTTTAGGAATTTACCCAGAATGCAAAATAACAGTAGAATCACATTAGTTCAGCATTTATATATAATAAGTTAAGTGCTATGTGTTGTCATCATTGGATGGTCCAATGACAAAATTAGTTCTCTGCATTTAACCCATCACACCTGCTCCACCCAGGTGGAGCAGTGTGCAGTAAGCGCCCCGGGAGGATCTTATTCAAAACTAAAGATATTTTTATGAATCAATCTTGATGTACATTTTTTTTTTTTAATTGTAATGCTTTTATTTCGCTAACACAAAATCATGTTACTTGCTATTATTACGTGGTGGTTATTGTTGCTAATGAGACATGAGAAACACAATTGTGGTGTTAGTTCATATTTGACAAATTAATAAACAAAATATGCCCAATAAGTTCTTCATGTTGAGGTTTATAGTTTGTTCTTTCTTGTTCCTTCTTTAAGTTTTCACATTTAGCAGATTCACTCACATTTTTACATCTGAGAGATTCTACGCGTTTCCAATTCCACCATATTTGTTAAACCTGCAGACTGTCACCAGCCAAACGTAGGTCAATCACGTGATTTAAGACTCCACAGGTTTTTTTTTTTTTTTTGGCAGATTGTTTACATTGAGTGCGTACCTGCATTCCAGAATTGCACATCAGTATATTTAAACACTACTTCAAGCTTCACCTTTTGATTTAGTTCAGAACAAACAGTTTTTTTTTTTGCTTGATTTTATCATTTGCAATGAGTAATTTTTCTAAATATTTATACTGTCTGTAAAATGAAACATGGGGATGAAAACTTGCGTCATTCCACATTATCAGTCTCGGAGGTTTGGAAGGAGAGGAACACCTTTAATGATTTTTTTTTAACAAAGAGTCAAAGAAAATACAAACATTGGCATGTTGCAGAAAACGTATCACATAAATCCATATTCAGATAAACTTTTCTAGAGGAGGCTCAGTTCTTTCTTTAATATGAATAGAAAAGTTAGAAATGGTTAAAAAATATTTGGATTAGTGTCTTTCTCCCTGAACATGTTTAAAGCATAAAGAAGAAAAAAGTAAATAAAAGATGTGCTCAGCAAAATAAATTAATTTTCCTTTTTAGGATATTTTTGTTGATACAACATTTTCTAGACTTTTCTATTGAATTAATTTGCTCTCACTTGTTCACAGGTCTAGACTAATTGGTAAGTAATTTCAAAATAAGAGTACTTGAGTAGTTTATGTCCTACAATATTAAGGTTACTAAACAATAGACAATATAAGCTAAATATAATGAGGATTTTTAAACAAGTAATTTAAAATTATATTATGTCAGAACTTAAAATATACTTTATTGTATGTTCTCATGATGAAGAGGTAATAAAATGCTCCAGATTATCGTCTAGGGCAGGGGTTCCCAAACTTTTCCATGCCATGGCCCCCTTCTGGCCCCCCTCGCAAACCCACAAACAAAAAAAAGTGTATTTTGATGTGTTATTAAAGATCTATGTTTACCTATATAAGTAAAACTTGCTATCTTAGAGAGCTCAGCACAACAAGAAGTAGCGCTAAGCTAGCAGCGTGCAATAAAGACGCGCTAAGATGCTACAGAAGTACCATTACATCTTAATGTAAAGCTCTGATTTACACAACCTAATAAACACTTTATACAAAATCAGTTCAGTGTGAACTGATCATAACAAACAAATACTAAACATATGCAACCAGAAGTTGCAACATAGATATATCTAAATACAAAATACACAAAACAAAGTACAACTAGCTTTAAGCATTAACCTTAAATTTAACGATAAAGCATATGATGCAATTATGACAGAAAATGAAGGATTTACATGAAGTTTCCTTCATTCAGGCAAACATGTGGTACTTCCTGTTTATCCCTGTTGTATTCAGCTGCTCATGAGGTCAGACGCAGGGTTTTATCCATCTCTTACATTTTTCCAGACTTTGTCTAATTTTGGAAATAGAATAAACTGTATTCCACACTAAAGCAGGGCAATTCAACTAAATTTCTCAGTGGACCACAGTTACTGAAAGGCAGCAGCTCAGGGACCGGACATCCAGCAATTAAAGTCATTATGTATATATACCAAGTATTACAATGATCTGTTACCTTTTAAATGTGTTTATTTCGTTGCATTGAATCATAAATGCAATAAACAGAACCCAAACTCGCAACCGTCTTAAAAAATAATAATAATTTGTTGGGGTTTTTTTTTTACTTGTTTTTTTCCAGGGGTGCTAAGTTAAAGTTTAAGGGTGCTTGAGCACCTGCAAAAAGAGGCTAAAATCACCACTGGTCCCGACTTCTCATAATAAAAACATGCACAACCGTTGTGGAGCATTCTACAGAAACTCCAAACAAAACAACCACAAATGGCAAGAATCGAAAAGTTTCAGCTCATTTACCGTTCAAGCTACAATCTAATTAAGGATGCTGAGTCAGGTGAAACGTTACAACTATACTTACAGCTTCCCCTGTTCACTTGGAGGAAGTGAGTGTATACAGCGCGTCCGCCTGCTTTTGTGGCTTTTGCTTTATGCTCGGTGTGTGTAGATGAAGCGCACGGCTGCTGGGTCAGCAGCCCTGAAATGCTGCCGTCAGTCATTTGGAAGAACTAAATAACTGACCAAATAAAACAACTTAATCATCTTCTGCTGCATTACACTTCTTCTCTGACGTACTAAGATATTTAGAAACGTTAAAATGTCTTTTTGCTTTAATTAAAAAGAAAGACTTCTATTATTAAACAACACTTTTTCTTTTATTTCTTGGTAAACATATCTGCAATATGACACCAGATAAGTCCTTCTTTATGCCCACCTCTGCCTGTGTTTTCTCTTTCCTTCATACATACACAGGCTTGTACACACACACACGCACACACACCTGCCTTAGCCATTCAAATACACATCTCTATCTAGCACTCATACAAACTAATATCTCAGGTAAGCACAGGGCCTAAAGTGACCTGCTGTCGTGCTGCATGAATCCACTAAGGCTGTGAAAAGGTAATATTGCGCCTTCCCTCCTTCCCCTTCAGGGGCTGCGGCTTGATGTGGACGAGCAGAGGAGGTGCAGAGGTGAGGGAGGGGGCAGGTGAGGAGGAATAAACAGATTTATTTGCCTGCGCCCCTCTCTGATTATTTTGCCCCTGCCTTTTGTTCCAGACCTTATGAAACCCAAATGTCAAGTGAGGCGAGGGCCTCATATCGAGTCCTGTCAATCACAGCCCTCTGCGCACCTGAAGATCTGATGCTGGATTATTGGCTTCAACACGAGGGCTGCCGGTGCTGCCGGGCGCGCACACGAGTCGACAGCCAAGTAGGTTTTTTTTTTTTCTAAAGAGGAACTTCATTTGGCAGCTGATGCACAGGTGATTGCAAGGGAGAGGATTTCCAGGGTAGATGAGAGGCAAAATGTGTGTGTGTGCATGTGTGTGCATGTAAGGGAGGTACAGAGTGGCTTATAAAGGGAGGAGGGGGATTAAGAGGGAGGAAGCATGCTTGACATGGGTTGTGGTGGTAAGTAAATGTTGAGGACCAGTACATCTTGTTCAGAGTACTGGTAGGATATCGGTACCTATATGGGTATACCTGTATGTGTACTTGTATATGTACCTATATGCGTATACCTGTATGTGTACTTGTATATGTATCTGCATGTGTATACCTGTATGTGTACTTGTATATGTATCTATATGTGTATA